TTGGACAAAAATATTTATAAAGCGCACAAAAGGAAATTGGGCTTCGGGCATATATAAGGGCGAAAAAGTTGCCAGTTATATTACTCTTTCGCCTTAAGTATTTGACTGGTAATTCTTCTTCCTTTTGACCAACACCAGTTTTTCCCATCAGTTGTCAATCATGCCTCTATGTCAAACGTCCTTTAACTCAATGGGTTGTTCCACTGAGACTGGGCAAATTTACCGAGCCGAGATAAACCGAATGCGACATTATATTTAAAAGAGACAATCCAGATCATTAACTTAACATAGTATTTCATAATTTGTTTTGGGATAGCTTAAAACTACTTTGCTCATTTAAGGAGTAAGAAAAACATACATGTACAAACTTTCTTTAACGTCCATGGCAGCCGAAAATATTACGTTTTAACTTCACAACCGAAACTTTAAGCGCAAGCAATTTCTTTATTTTAATCATTTCAATCTCCCGAACCTTTCGAACTTATTAACAACTCAGATCTGAAATTTCACTTGAAATTATCTTCCCATGTATGCATAACGTTTTTGTGATTGCGTCAGACGAATTTCACATAGAACTGAATTAAGCAGCTGATTGGAAAGGCATTACAATATTTTTCAAGACTACTTCAATCTTAAGTTAAATCGCAGACCAGAAACCTTTACTGTCGCTAACTGTGTAACAAGTCTATTAGACAAGTAGACTAACAGCTTTTCAAGACTTTCATGGTAGGTAAACTTCACTTGATAAATGACTCCTTAGAATCTGAGCTGGGGCGAAAACGGTTTACACAAGCATCAACGCCTCAGGCTGAGCTTGTTATTTTGTCGTGTGATGGCAGTACGAACTTCACGCTGGAACGAAACACATTCCGAAGTGAAATTCGTTCCTGTATCAAGTAAATAGCCCCTTGGTCTTGTCGAACCCCTCTGCTCGCTATATCATCGAAAACAAGAATAGCCTTTTAAAGCGTCAAAGGTGATCATTACTTCTTTGGCACGATGTCCAACTTAAGAATCGATATTGATCAGCGCGTCAGCGTAATAATTAACTGTATCTCAGTAAGTTTGCTAAATTCTGATCAGGTAATTGTTTTATCCCCAACAAATTCGTATCGAAATGTGATATGGCATTTATTGGTCATTTGAAACCGTTTGTTTTCTACCGTTCCACCGTTAAAAAACAAAAAAACGTATATGCTGTCATAAGTAGATAACTCTCATTCCACCTGCTAAGATTCAATGAAATGTCATGAGCGGTTAGCAGATGGCGTGCTGCAGATATGTTCTGACTTTTATACTACCCCTTTAGATTACATCTTTTAAAATTCAAATGAAAATTAGCAAAAGAAGACTATCTTGTTTCTTTTACTTTCTTTCGTGTTTTTTTAGTAGTTCTTTGCCCCTTATTTTGAGAGGCAACACCGCATCTAATTTACAGTGCAGCAGCAAAATTTAGGCTTATATTTTCATTTGAAATAAATACAATAACATAATCACATCTTTGTGGTGAATAGCGAGAAGCAACTTAATGCTATAAATATGGAAATCTGTATATCTTCTCGTTGAATTAGTCACATGTAATAAAGTAAGCATGTGAGTGAAGCCAACACTTTGAAAAATCGAGTTCTAACACATGAAAATTCATTAATTATCAATGTAAACTTTGCAATTACTTTCTCTTTTGCAATGAACTAGCGCCATGGTAACAAGACGAATGTCCGTAACTTCCTATGTATATTTGTTACATGTATATTCCTGTGGACCGCTGGTGAGTAAAATACACTAAATGCTCTATCCTTATTTAACGCTTGAAAGCTGATTCTCTTTATATTTCAGTCTTTTCATTCCCTTTTTGTTGGCGACATGACAAAAACTTATAGCACAGCACATAGCGCCGAAGACATGCCATGAAACAAAGAGACTGTGGGTAACTGCATGGTTTGTGCAAGATGTGATATGAAATATTTTGCTTACAAGCAACAAGACGCCTTGGATCGTACACTTCGGCGTCGTGGTTGTGGAACTGATTAATTGTAAATGCCAGCGATTTTAAGATGGTTTGACTTATTCGAATTATTCAAATTCAATTTCCTTTTATTATAGCGTTACCAGTGGTAAACAAAACATTGTTTTCTTTCCATTCTTTTTTTTTTTTCCCCCTTCTATATTTCTATTTGATTTGTATGTCATTTTTATTTCTTGCTATATTATTCTTGCTATATTATAACATTATAACATGTTTTTTATGTGTAAGGCAATATTTCTTTTCTCGCTTTTTTTTTAACAACAACTGCTTATATATTGGATAAGACTAATCTAAAAGCTCTCTAATCACATGACCTCCAGTTTGAAACCTTAAAAATGAAAATGTAAAAGTGCACGATAAGTATGTGCAGAAAGAACGCCTGACTGAAAACGCAATTTGTGGTGACACTGAAATAGAAAGAATGGCCAAAAGTCGATAATGTGTTATTGTTTACGTGACGGTTTGGAATTATAATCTGCTTCATCACTTTTTTACAGTGAAAGAGCTACGATTCTTGTTTACACACGAGGAAATGATCACAACATAAAGAAGTTATAATAAACATCATTTAGCTTAAGTTTCTCAGCCGTCATGCAAGTCTTGATGTCTATAATGCAATCTTGTAATGCAGTTACCGCTTCCAATTCACTCGCACTAGAACCAAGCTTAAATGAGATATATAACTGGTTATCGTCTGCGTATGCATGAACATAGTCTTCTCCCTATGCTTTTTTGAAACAGTTCACGATAAATGGTGCTTACATAAAAGCGTTTGGCATATTAAAAATGGGTTAAAACGTGGTTTTGTTATACACTGGCTAAACTCCGTTTAAATGTCTGGCCCTTTCTCATGACAATAGTAACAATTGTGGCCATATGATAAATCGATGAACATATTTTATCAATGATCTTCCTTTCGTCGAACCTGTCCTTTTTTGCGTCAAGACGAGTATACACCTATCTTAACCTAGCTAACGCACGACCAATGTCACGCATGCTCCGATGTACCCTGCTCAGGCCACTTAAGGCATGACTACCTAATTAAATCTGCATATTTTGTGAAATGCTATTTAGAACGGTTTTCTTCCATCAGTGATCCTGAAAAGTGAACTACATGAAACGTGATTTCAAATAACACTTGACATTGCTTCGTCAATGACGTCACAAAACAAGTTTTCCTAAACGGGGAAGGGTTTGCAAACCTTAATCTTAGGAACTTTCACTACCAAAATGTTCCATAAACAGTGTAAATCGTAAATCTGTCTTGTATTATTGGAAATGTTATTTATTCTATTAGCTATTTAACTAATTAACAAGTCACGTGACCCTCTTCCCTTTATTTACCTATTCCTATATACCGTATTAACACATATTCAAGGCGAATTTTTCAGAACCTTTTTACTATAATAGCCTATGAAATGTATCTAAAAGACCTTGTTGCTCTTTCATTATTATTTCCCCATTTTAGGGTAAATATCTTGACCGTTAATTCTCAATTATCAGTCACGTAACGAAAATTTGAGCTTCGTGAATGTCCATATTGGTAAGGCCATTAAGCTTTATTTATAGTTCAACTTTCAGGATCATTGATAGAGGCAAACCTTTCTAATATACTTTGTTTTTACACACATCGTTTTGCCATCTCCGCCCGCAAGTAGCAAGAGCTAGACAAGACGGGCAGAGTGGAAAGGTTACAGCAGTCATAAATATTAAATTAAAGGAAGCTATGAACAACAACTAAACAAATTAAGCAGGAAAATGGGAAAAACAAAAAAAAAAACAAGCTAGAGTTACAAACATAGTTTTACAGAAATTTACTAAAGAACTATAAATTTTTGGTGCATTAAGTCGTGGCTGCAGATTTTACGATTTTTTGTAGCAGAAAGGGCACTTCAACATAATCATCCTCTGTTTCCATTATCGAGAGCAATAAGTCATGAAAATGTTTTTTCAAAAGATCCTTTGGAGAGTTTACGAAATTCATTGGGAATTGCGTTCCAAAGTTTAGCTTCAAAACTGGAAGAAGAACCTTGATTTTGATTCAGGCTTGACATAATAATTTCCAGACGAAGAAAACCTGGTCTCAAACTTCTGCTTTGAATTAGCTTTGGTAAAGAGATCACAGATGTAGGACGGAGCATTCAAGCAGGAGACGTCAAACATTATAGAAGATACTTTTTCAGCATATAACATTTGTAGGGGTAGAATGTTTGAGGAGATAAATAATGATCCTGCATGTGCTCTGGGTTCAGAAAAATTCATCAAACGAAGGACTCGTTTTTTTAGCACGAGAAATTTTTGTAAATGGGTTTTAGCAGCTTGACCCTAAGCCGCCAACCGCATGTCAGATGAGGCAATATCGATGATTAATAAATATTTAAAAGGGTTGTACGTGGGACGAAGTGCCTAAGACGGGCAACAACACCAACAGTTCTGCTTACCTTTAATGCAACATTATTATTATGAATTTTCTAGCCTAAATTGCTAACCAATAGGACGCATGCGCTAAGATATTTAACATGGTCTTTACACTCAAGGGTAGTAAGAATTTTGGTACATCTTGGCTCTTGACTGCTGACTTTTTCCATAGCATTTTATCAAAATATGCATATTTAATTCGATAGTCATGCCTTAAGTGACCTGAGTGGATGTCAGAGGTCTTCTCGCTCACAAGCAGCGAGATGCAAAAAGAGGGAAGTGAAAGGAGGAAAAAAAACCCTCCAGCACTCAGGCTAACTCCTGTGAATCAGTACCTCAAATTGTTGAGGAAAGGGATAGGTAATACTGTGTTAGATTGTGAGACTTATTGCTATCATTCCCGAAATATTCTTCAGGGTCAGGGGATGGCCAGGAGTCAGGGGATGGCCAGGAGTCAGGGGATGGCCAGGAGTGTGACCCAGACCGAGACAATGGGCCTAAATGTAGATGTAAGAAGAGCTGTGGCGGCAATCCTAACAGGAGCATCAGATGCAACATGTTCAACAGTGACTGCAGAGAAGATGGAAGAACAGTGTGCTGTTGCAAAAGTGACAAAAGTTATTGCCGTATGTTGCACGTAACAAATTATATTCTTGCACTGATATTTGAAAATTAAAAAACAAAAAAACAAAGCGAGGGTTTTAGAAGATAGGATCGAACGCCAGTTAAGTGAGCAGTCATAAGAATATATATAATTATCTTTAATTTTTTTTTGTTTTTGTCGTGCTTATCAGCCTGTTGTAAGAACGGGATAGTAACCATAAACTATTGGTTTTCAACTGATAACTTCGGTATGTAAACTTTTTTTACTCGTCTCCAACGTGGTGATGGTAGCTATACTTCTATAATAATGTCATTCTCGGAGACCCAGGGGCAGTCAGTCGGGTCGGGAGAAAAGGCGGGACGAAAGTTTTCAAGTAAGGGCGAAAGAGTTCCTGGGTACCAACTCTCACCGAACTATTTCCAAAAACTCAAGCGGCTGGCGGCTAGTGATTGGGCACACAAAATGCTTTGTATTATTGTGCCCAATCGGCGAACAGCTTCGCCTGAGTTCTTTTCATGAGTTCGTACACGACAGCTATTGTCTCGCCACACATGCCGAGCTCGTTCACCAAGCTTGTGCGTGCAAGGGAAACTTTTTTTTCTACTTTCCTATCCAGAAACGAAGGAACTACGGATGAGTCGAAAAAAACGTTTGGGATGCTATGAGCAGGAGCAATTGAATTTGCCCCGAGAATATTCTGTTTTTGACGGATCAAAATGTATCGTAAAATAATAGGAAGTTTAAGATGTGGCGGCGACAAGAAAGTCAAATAAGCAATAGCTTGACAAGGCAAAACAACAACTTTGCACGAGCATCACGCTTTTTTGTACATTTCTTTGCCGTCAACTGTACGACGTAACCCGTGAACATGCCTAATTTCACGTTTTGTGAAGGACGTAAACTGAAGCAATGACAAAATTCATTCTCTTCATGAACGTGGATATGGTTGTAGAAATTCAGCTCCAGAATAGTTCGCTTGAATTATTTGACAAAGTAAGCGAGCTGGAATAATCACGATAGAGACTGAAAAAAGTATGAAGTCACTTTTCCATGCGACGTTTTCGTGGCAGTAAGCCGTCGTAGTATCTTTTAAAAACTCTCTATAAATATTTACGCAAGACGTGGCCGATGCACACGTGAATACCTGTTGCAAGCTGAAGCTCGTATTTTTGGAAAAGCGTCTTTAGTTTTCGGCCAGACAGTCTTTTGAAATCAGATGGGTATTTTATATCAAAACTGAAAATTTCCTGACTGCGTGCATTTCTTTGGTATATGAGACAGACAAGCCGTGATCGAGACAATAGCCGTCGTGTACGAAAACACGAAAAGAACTCAGGAGATGTGTTCGTCGATTGGGCACAATAATACAAAGCATTTTTTGTGCCCAATCAGGAGCCGGCATCCGCTTGAATTTTTGGAAATGGTCCGGTGAAAGTCGGTACCCACGGGCTCTTTCGCCCTTACTTGAAAACTTTCTTCCCGCCTTTTCTCCCAACTCGACCGACTATCCCTGGGTCTCCGAGGATGTAATTATGTCTGAATAGAGGTATTTTGCACATTATTTTGGCGTGGGTGTCGGCGGGAATCTCGAGTAGTTTAGAATGGTCAATTTACTCCTCTGACTGTCGAGTAACTGTGGAGTTAGGTCGAGTCTATGACGTCACCGTCGCCTATCTCTCTTTTTATATGGTAAATACCGTCTAGACCTGTATAACGATAACACTGTCGAGTTAGTATCAAGTCGTTCTTTTCACACGAAGTGAGGTTCTCTCTTATAAAAGAGGAACAATAGGCTTGTCCCATTGTTTCCAGTAGTGTACTATGTTGCATTATAAGCCCCGTAGGGGTATAGGTATAAGTAAATCATTAACATTCAACTGCGTTCCTGCATATTAATTTGGTAGTGTCGATTAGGTATAGGTAAATCATTAACATTCACATACCTTGTACTGTCGCAATTTGTAATACCTGTCGCGATTTGTAATAAATCCATCGCACTTTGTAATACCTGTCGCAATTTGTAATAAACCGTGTCGCACTTTGTAATAAAAAAGCTGTCGCAATTTGTAACAACTGTCCATCGCACTTTGTAATAAACTAAGCTGTCGCAATTTGTAATAATTCCATCGCACTTTGTAATAACTTTTTGAGAGTAATTAAACTTACTTCGTCAACATTAATATAACGCCAAAATATGCATGGTACTTCATAAACAAAGATGGAGATGACGTCTGCTAGCACGTAACATCTCCGCTCATTCAAACATTTAACTTTATTCACAGTCCTAAACATTTTTTTAGATTAATGTTGATTAGTTATCTGACTTACGAAATGCTGTATTCTTGAACCTTGCTATTGTACTAGGTGGCTTGCATTCAATGGTTACCCAGCGGGTGTACTTCCTTATATGGCCAATACGGGGATGTGTCTCTGGACAGAGCATTGCCAGAGTAGAGGATCTAGACAGAGCTAGACACACTAGACACAAACAAGCCATTATTAAAAAGCATTTGATTTCCGCTAATCGTAACATCCATCCTACATCATTCGAATAAGGACACAAGGAGAGTTCAAGTTTTCCTTGTTAGATCTTATAACAGGTTGACACATCACGTGGTACACCGTTCTTGTCTAATGAGCAATCTTAAAGAATTGATAGTGGCTTCCATATTTTGGCCAACTAAATCAAACGAGGCCTGGAAAGATTCAAAATGTTTACTGCAAATAAAAAAAAAGGTCACCAGTGGCAAACCTTCGAACCACAACAGAAACTTAAGCACAAAATCCAATTAGTCGCTGGCCAATACCTTCGTATGTACCTGTTTTTGTAACACTCACTTGGGGTCTTACACTGAGCCGGCTGGGCATTTGGTCCATTATTCTCACTTGATTTGGTCCCATATAGGAACAAAAGGAGTACTCATTCCATCTTAAAACAATTGTTTCCTGTAAGGAGTCCTCTAAAGCAAATACCATGGAGATGGTAAAAAATTATCCTACCCTGCGTATATACAACTCGTAAGACCTTGCAATTCTTCCGAGCGTGTTCTGGATTACTGTTTTTCTACAAAATGGAAAGGATGGAATAAACCATCCATTACTACTTGAGTTAAGCTATCTAAGGATCAAACCAAAGACACAAGGCCAACAACGCAAAAAATGATACCCTATTAAAGGCTCGAGATCCTCAAAAACCATACCCTATCAGGCGGTACTTACCTATCTAGCCCATCCATATATGGGATTATCCCCCCCCCCCCCGCCGAAGACTTCACGTGTCACGTGGCAAGCAAACATGGATTTGGACGACGAATGCCAGGTTATTCATGAATTTTCTGTTGTTAAATGTTGCCTTTCTGATTTAAATATTTTTGAATTTAAACGTGATTCATATCTTTTTAGTGATATGTCACAGGAAGTTTCATGTCTTTCATAAAAGCGTTTCTAGTTAGTCACGTGATTAATCAAGGCAGAAAAATTTATAGCGGAAGAAATGAATGTTTGACCAAAGAAAATGTTACGGACATGTTACATGGTGGCAGACGTCATCATGTTTGTTTATGAAGTAGCATGCATATTTTGGCATTATATCAATGTTGACGAATTAAGTTGAATCACTCTCAAAAAGTTATTACAAAGTGCGATAGAATTATTACAAATTGTGACAGCTTAGTTTATTACAAAGTGCGATGGACTGTTATCACAAATTGCGACACCTTTTTTATTACAAAGTGCAACACGGTTTATTACAAATTGCGACAGGTATTACAAAGTGCGATGATTATTACAAATTGCGACAGTACATACCTTCCTGCATAAAAATTCGGTATAGGTTTCCTAATGAGCGTCTCTCTTACGCAATAGGAACAATTATAAGGCTTGCCTATAGACTTGCCCGGTAAGTAACTTTAGTCGGTTTGTCAGAACGTCTAGTTACAAAATAGGAGTAATTCAGGAGCGATCACCTGGCAACGCGAGAAACGGCTTATGTCTTCTATTTAGCGCTAATAATCGAATATATAAACAAAACACACACATTCAGAAAGTGGAGCTGAAAACTCTTTATTTCAATTTTGACTGACTATTACAAAACCGTTTACTCCTTTCTATCTCGAAGAAACGACTAATTATTGAAGTCTCAGCGCTTGGTGAGCTTATTGCCTTGTTTCACGCGTTGTTAGTCACTTAATTATGCGAGTTAACAAGCCAAAGGTTGCATACAAATTGGCTCCACAGTAAAAACTTCAAGGCAATACCTTGACTATAAAAACAAAAAAAAAACAATACATTTATTAATAACTTAGCAAGGATCAATTGAGTTGTTCCTTTTATTGTCTTGTTCGCCCTCAGGTTCAATTTCTTCCTCATCGTCCTCATTATCGCTCGCCATCAAATCAATCCCTCTACTTTCATCTTGGCTTTCTGCCTCTTCGCTTTCTTCCCCTTGTTCGCTGTCGAGTCCGCTTTTGTCAGACTCTACATTTCCTTCTTGTATATCTACAGGTATTTGCGCGAGTTGATCTTCATGCGTCTCACCAAGGTTTGGGGCAGATGCTTGTTTCAGTGATTGAAACATGGGTGTGAACTGTTAACGGAGCAGAGGGGAACTTTTCAAGCTTATCTTGGTGAGGTACTGGGTAAACTCTGTAATAAACGCGTTTGGGTCGCCGTTAGACACGAAACATTTGGGTGCTTGGTAATCAGGCACGTTACAACTACGTATGCTGGCACTCAAGGGTACAGATTGCTACTTTAATTTATCTGTGTTTTTTTAATTCTTGTGTTTTCTCCTTGTCACAGTAGCATTCGAAATTAAATGTCGCTCGATACGGAAAATAGCGTGCTTCTTCAGGAACGACAATGCCTTCTTTTTCTAGTTCTCGAAAAACGGATTTTGGTAGTCGTGCTACACGCTACCCGGGTACTTGAGCTGCACTTTGCCGTCACAGGTCTTCTCGTGACGACTTCAACGGGACCCTTTCTTCCAATATTTACCGCAATGGGAACAACAGAAGGATCTAGAGTAACGCGCCAGATCTTTGATGTACGAGAAATGGTATTCGTACAAGTTTAGGTAATGCTTAATGGCAGTGCGGACGGCCGATCAGTGTAGCGGCCGCGATATCAGATTCATTTTCTTCGTTGTCTTCTCTATGGGTTTGAGTGAGTGCTAAGCTGTACACTTGGATTTTCACTTTGTATAATTTTTCTACTTCGTCCAGTTCACTTAACTTTACACCATGGAATTTCTTTTTCTCTAAACTGACTCAACGTTAACTCAAAACATGTGAATATTAATTAAAGTATAGGTTTTCTTATCGACACTAAATCGACAGTAAAGAGGAGTAAATTGACCATTCTAACCCACTATCTCGTATTACATCACACATGCTCCACCTCTAAAAACATTTAAGATTACGATTTAACACTAGCTTAGTATTTACCAATTTTATATTCATGGTAAAACAGACAGCGTTACATTAAGTTTAATACTCTATGATAAAGCTCGGGTATGTTGAGCACTAGGCCACCATTCCTCCTTTTTTCTCTCCTATTTTACATGTTTTCGTTTTACAGTTTGTTTTAGTTTTGATTATTTTTGCCAGGCTGTAAATGGTGGCATCAGCGGCTTGTACCATGCAGCCTTTATTTTGTATGTAACATTTTTTTTTTAACTCATATTCACGCAGATGCTTGGACGACAGCAACACTCTTATCACATTCACCCACATCATCACCTTCACCCATATCTTCATTGATAACAAAAACATCTGCAACATCGTTATCATCAAAGACACTCATATCAACATCGATAACAGAAAAGTCATCACCTACATCATCATCGATGACACGTGTACCAACACTGATGGCACAAACATCAACAACAGCAACATTATCATCATCGCCCATATCAACAATGACAGCAGAATCGACAACTGCGTCATCACCGTTACCTGTACAATCATTGACAACAGAAATAGAAAAAACATCGCCATCTTCAACGTCACCCATACCAACTTTCATGGGAGATTCATCGACCGCGGCGACATTACCGTCATCTGTACCATCACCGAAATCACAAGCACCACAATCAACAATAAAACAGTTATCATCAAAAACAACACAAACAACGACTGCGAAAAAATTGGTGAGTTATGGTGGATTGTTAATAACTACAGTCTATTGAAAACACAAGCATGATAAAAACACAACAAATTATTTCACCTCAAACTCGCGCAACCTGCAAGAGAAGATATGAACTGCATGGTAGCTCACAAGAAAAGATACAAATGTTAATGAAAATTGCTGAGGTCAGGATAATTGTCTTCTGTGAAACCGGCCATAGCCTTTGAGAGTCATCTCCCATTATTGAGGCAGCCCATTGAGAACAAAAGTTAGTTTCCTTCAGGACTGAAGGGTCCCAACAGCTTATTATGAACTGCTACAGCGAATAGGTTTAGGAACCACGCTGGAAAACCTTCGTGTCCAGGACATGTTAATAACTATAAACGCCTGTTTTCAAGGCACCGCCCCCACTTGCATTAAGGAACTCGTTAAAATGAGAGACAACAAGTACGATTTAAGGGGCAATAATACGCTATCACTGCCAAAAGTAAATACTACAAAGTATGGATTAAACTCCTTCAGATATTTCGCCGCAAAACAATGGAACAGTATTCCAAACGAATTACGATTAAGAGCTGGAGGACTAGAATTTAACAAACAAGTGAGGAACATTCAATTTTAGTTATCTCATTTTGTAATTTTAGATGTCAGATATTTTATATTTTTACACTTCTATGTACATATTTTCTTTCTTTCTTTCTTAATATTGATTTGTGGAAAACCTGCAAAATAGCTTTAGCTAAGTGTTTCTCCCACGTTAAATAAAGATTATGTTATGTTATGTTAACAGTGCACGAAGAATTCCTAAGACAACAACTACGATAATTTAATTTGATGCGTAACATGACAACCGTGGAACCATAGAAAAGGAAGGAATAAAAGACGGTGAAAAAAATCAATTAATTATGTCTGAATGTTGAAAGAGGCTGGTCGGTGCCAGTTAAGACAAGAGAGTTATAAATCGTGGTCTTTTGCCAAAGAAGAGGTCGCAATTCTATAAATAAGGGAATTTTAATAATCTTTAATAAGGGGATTTTGTTTCTGGTTTAAACCTCTGCATGACGTCTTTCGGGGATTCAGGTAGCTCCGAGTCTTTGAGTCCGAAGTGAACGCAGTCAGCAGACGCTGTGACAATTAACTTTAGCCTTTATTTGCGGACTACTCGCTATTAGGGACTGGACAATAGCTGAAAAGTCTCGCGACTTTTCAGCTATTGTCCAGTCCGTAATAGCGAGGTGTCCGCAAATAAAGACTAAAGTTGACGGCGTCCGCCCGAAGCAAAATTAATAGTAAATGCTGATGTAGGGAAATACTATGGAGCAAACTTGGCCAGTTCACAAACATTTACACATTCCTTTGCAGGTATCTCGGTACTCTTCATCGATTAGGGCTCTCAATGTTAGCAACAAAGGTTCCTTACAGGTGAAGTCGTCTCTACCGCAAATAACTAACTTGATGCCTAAGTTGAATACGGCCTTGATCACTGGCTTATTAATTTCGCATGTATTTATTGATCATTTTTATTCTTGAAATGAAGCACTCAAGAATGAAAAAATTTAGTCCATGTTTTCAAGATGATTTCTTTCTGATTTGATATCGGAAGGGACAAAATTGGTTAATTTGCTTGGTTCTTTTAGCTGATAACATCAAGCTGGTCAAAGACAGCCATTCAGATATTGACAGATATTTGACAACGTTCAATATAAACTTAATATATTCATGATAAAGAGTAGATGGTCTTTCAGCGGCATATCTTCTGTAATCCATTTTACCTTTTTTTTTTCCTTTTTCACAGGAAGCAATCAATGCAACCAGAATTTTTTTCGGAGATTTACAAAAACTACCGCCAGGAGGAAATGACATAAATATACTGGTAGCCATTCACGAACTGGAATCATTTGGAATTAAATACGGCAAGACTCATCTCACAGCGAATGAAAGCACAGTTATTGTACATGTGCAAAAATTGTTTGGTGAGTTTTATGCTCTGTTTGACGTCAGGTCTTTTTATTCATTTTTCAGTTGAATATTTATAAGTTTATATCCAGCTTCATATTCAAGGTCACATTAATTTACGGTAGATGCTGACGCTCACAAGGAAAAATGAAAAATATTTGGCCTTTACTTGTTCTCTATAGTGTAATCAAGTGGTTAGTAGGGAGGTAAATTAATAATAAATAATAATTATTAACCGGTTAGCTTTTCACAGCAGTGGCCTATACCAGGAGCTAGGTCGGGAGGGAAGGGGGGCAGAGACTGAGTGATCACACCTGGAATTAAAAAGGCCATTTGGATAGAAATCTTTTTTTTTTTTTGAGTAAACTATCCCAGGTATTGATTTTTTTTATACGAACAGTCATAGCACGGACAGACTTTTTTACCTGAAATTTTCTAAAACCAGCCATTACAAATTGGGCTACACAAAAACTAAAACCTCTCATTGTCTGTGATTAATATAAGAAATGGCAAACCTGGAAGTGAAAGGGGTGTACCGGGCGGGTGTACGTTACATCTTAATGGGCCGACCATTTTACTTTTCAGGGGGAGGGTATGGATGATTTCTGGAAAAAATATCCTGCAGACTGATTTCGAGGAAAAAATAATTCTTGCAAGGAAATACCTGACGGAAAAAATTTCTCATTGAACAGAAATATTTTTCATGGCTTAAAATGCTGGGGAAAAAAATCTTACATCGTCAAGTTGTTAATGTCAGGAAAAAAATTATATCACCAGAGGTTTGAGGAAAAAAACTCTTACCCAAACCAAATCCCCCATCCCTCCCCGTCAAAGTCAAATGCTCGGCCCCTAACCAAATTTCTATGCATCGATGGGTTACCAATTTCTATAGGTATGGGGCTCCGCTATAAAATTTGCTTGCTATAACGAGTTCACAAGGAAACTAATTCACTAAAATTGTAAGCTATTGTATGACATCTTACGAATACCATGACTTATTTCACTGGTAAGGCTTCAAAGTCAGAAAGTTATTGGTTATTGGTTTTGTAGTAACGAAGATTCAGAAGATTTTGGAAAATAATACGGAACCGATTACTTGTTCTAAAAGCAGTGGAACAGATCTAGAGAGCATTGTCATTCCTTCGGAAAACTTCAAAGCACAAGGTAAAAGCAGTGTCACTAGCTTCTTAATTATGAGATAATTATGAGTGCTTCCACTGTAGCGACCAATAATTTATTTTATAAGTCCTACCAGCTCTTCAAACATTGCACTATACACGACCACTTCAGAGCACTTTGGCACCGGCAAGGTTGTTTGGAATTAGTTAAGACTGAGTTAAGAATTCAAACCAAATAGCCTATATTATGCTAACTCAAGAAAGGGGAAATAAAAGGTCAGAGACCTTAATGTTAAAATCGGTATCGGCTAAACATTTCACTTTAATCACTTTAATTTTATCTCAGACACTGTCTCCATATGCACGCTTTACCATGGTGAGGTCAAGAAGTGGATACCCAGTGAAGAAACAGTTCTATTAAACGGGTTAGGCGTACAGGCCTTTTCATCTCTTACATATAAAACATAGTAGTAATAACCAAAGTTAAAAGGAGTGCGGGCGACAACGATCGAAGGTCAAAACGCTTTTGCTCAAACGATGTGCTGTGCGTAAGTGTTACATGACAGAGAGTCAAAACACGCGTGATCAGATTACGAGTGACAGAAGGTCCAAACGCGTGCGATCAAATTGCGTTTTATGCATTCCCTCCATTCTTGGTGAAAGCCAAACGAGGGAGACTAAACGAATGCTGGCTACAATCTCGACCCAGAGCTCTTCTGCGCATGTAGAGGAGAGAGATAGAGAGCTCTGGGGAACCCGGGAGCAAGATTGTCTCCGATTGTTTTTAGCAAAAAACAATAAAAGTGTTTCTGATTGGTCCATTCAAGTTTGCACGAGAGCGGTTGAACGTGCGACGTGTCTGGCGTGTGAGTGGGTTTTCCCTAGAAATGTTGAAGTAAACACGACCGGTCGATGGGCTACTCCAGCCGATTCTTGATTTCAGCGATTCCAAAACAACATTTGACGACTAATTAGGCAGAATTACTGGATTTTCCAACTTTCAAATAAAATAGCTTAGCTACATATCGAAAATTGAACCAGAAAAAGATTTGAATGTGAAAAAAAAAATAAGAAAAATACACCGACATCTTTGCCAGCTATAATTTAAGAAGCATGTACCCTGCGAGCAGAGGCCCATCGATCTTCCTAGATAAGTCTAGGAAGATCGAAGGGCCTCTGCTGGAAGGGTAGGAAGCATGACACATTACTGATTTTTCTTTAACTTCCACGTTATCGTATTCACACCAAGTAGCAGCGTATGAATGAAAACTTGATACTCTCGTCGTAAATTGCCCAAAAACAGAATAGCAAGAAAAAAAAACAACAGGAAAAGTAAATCGTTCCCTAAAGTGATCCGTGTTCAATGCGACTAGATATTTATAGTTGTCTTCTTTTCCCACGATATCGCATTTCAAAGCAGCTTCGCTGAAGTGTTAATGTTGTACTTCGTGAACAAACATAAATAAAAGGACGCTAAATTCATATTTTGGAAAGTTTTATTGGAATTTCGATACGTTTATCTTAACAAGCCATTCGGGTTTCACTTACCGCCTCTTGAAGTGGTACACAGAAATATTTAATCAACTGTCAAGGATATGCAAACTTCAAGTATCAAATCTGTGATTGGGAACGTTTAACGGTATTTTCTCAGCAGCTACCACAAGAGCCTTGGATACCTGAAAATTCTTCAAGGCCGTTAACTGAATTTCTTCAGTTCTAATACCGAAGCAGAACAAGATTTTCGCGATGAAGTAGACATAAAAGAAGCAAAAAGTTTTGGTTGGATCAAAGAGCATGCACTGAGAGGCTCAAATAGCCAGATTTTGGCTTCTCCGGCGCAGAGTTTCCCAGAGCTTACGCGCGCATTCCCAAACCCGTAAGCACTGGGGTCGAGAATAATGCTGGCTACATACATGCGACGCATGCGTAATAACAACCTGGAGATTAGGATTGCGTGCTTCTCTTGTAGCCCGCAATTAATTCCTCGCCTCGCGTAGAGAAGGTTTATAATTATGTCTAAATTTGCATAGAGCGTGGAACGTGCGTGGATCACAAAGTGAGACAGAAATACGAGTCGGCTTTGTATATACAGCTTTTTCGAGAAAGGTTGTCGGAAAAAGTGCATGCGACAAACCCGAAAGGTATTGTGGGCGCTTTTAAGCTTCACTGTTTTTCAAAGAAATTTGAAAGAATGGCACGAGAGGCCATGGGAGTGTAGTTGTGAGTGCTAAAGGAAAGCAAGAAAGTAGGTTCGACATCGACAGTGTCAGGAAAAGTGTATTGATCACATCCCATAATATCTTTCGGGATAGCCACGTGCACATTTTTTTTCGGACAACCTTTCTCGAAATAGCTGTATATCGAGTTTTCGGGTTAGTAGTCGCAGTGACTTCGACGATTGTGACGTCAAGGTACATTTTCAGGTTTCCAAGCAACTCGATTTCCACTGGGTGCACTATCGTGTTTTATTCATAAAAGGCTAACGTGTCTATTCATCCTTTATGAAAAATTGTTTACTTTGTTTTTTCGATTCTCCTCATGCATATGGCAGGGAACTGCAAACTGTACAACGACCGTCAGAAAGAGACTTCGCGACGGTTGCGAGACACCTTTCGGATTTGTCGGCCATTATTCTCCAAATGCGACGAAACGAGTTAAATTAGCGCTTTTAACGACGAAACACTGCTTATTTTCCTGAAATACACCTTCGAATTATTGATTAATCCAGCTCCAACACTACAAACAGCGTCTACCACCAGAATTTCGAGGGGAAAAGCTTTAAAGACTGACAATAGTTTGACCTGCCCAATTGAAGTTTGACGATGTGTCGTAGTAGTCTATGTGACGACTTTTGCATGTAGGTGGACAGGGTTCAACTCTCCTCTAAGGCAATTTATTTCTTTCATTTTTCCCCTTTTTGGCCGTTTTGTTTTTACTTTTTAACTATATCTTTTACCTATTGGCATGTTTTCCTTTATTCATGCATACTGCTGGGCCCTTTACGGCTTCTCGAGGTGTTGTGATAAACGTATTTCTAGTTTAACTCTAAAAAGGACAAATTCGTTAAGGGTTGAGAGACTCCAAAGAGGAATAAATAAAAAATTTTGTTCCAACTCCGTACAGAGCAATCACTCAGGAAACAAAAGTCTAATAAACCGTTGTGTTATAGGTTGTTTTCCATTTACATGGGCAAACCGGTCAGTCCACGGTTTAGGCAAATGGTACACAAAATTCAGGACTGGTAAATTTCGCCCCGGATTCGCGTTTAAACATTGTACGAATCAATTCCATTAACGAAAAACGACCGCGAAGGCCTGAAACAGGTATCAAAGATGGCTTTGAAGAATGGAACACGAATTTCTGTTGGAAATATTCCGTCGGGAAAAACAGGACTACCCTTTCAGATGTTCCGTTGCTCCCGGAAATTTTCCGCTGGAACGACCCAAAAAGTCGTGTTCCATTTACTTTTCAAGAGAATTTTCCGGAATCTTTTTGTAAATGGTAAACAACTCTAACGTGCTTTCCAGAGTGGGTAGATAATTTGTTAACGAGGACGCTGCCTTTAAAAGTTTTTACTTTGAAATTCTGCAGAGAGATTTCTACAACATTGTACTTATAAATTCTTTTTTCATTTTTTCTAACAGTAAAACTATCATGAACTTCACGTTAAGTAATATAATAGGCAGCACATTAGATCCCGGGCAGCAGGTCATCCTTCAGAAAAACCTGTCAGTTATATTACGTTACGATGAGGTATGTTCTTTAGCTAGTAAGTTAATTTATAGCTGTGATTAAAATCAGCCGAGAAGGGATTGATTGAAAACTGCTTCTACTGTTTTAGGATATTCTTGTTTTTTCTTCGTAATCTGAAACATTGCGAAATCAAAGAAAACTCAGTTAGTGGCTTGCAGAACTCACCACGATGTAGACTGCGAGCTGACTCTTATTTCTCCTTTGAGTCACAGTAGGTCGAGCGCATGCGTGAGGGGTGAGCGGCTAAGCCGCGAGGAAGGAGGGCAGTCCTTTTTGCCATTTATACAACTACATGAGAAATTTCTGCAATTTGATTGGCTTAAAGCAGTGGTGTTGATCAGCTTAATTTGAAATACCTACATGTGAAAATTACAAACCTTTTGCGGGTAGTGGTATAAACATATAATAGCATGATTTGTGCGTGATATTTGGCATAAATACCACACGTGATATTTCAAAATTGTCTCAAATTTCGAAACAATTTCGAAATATCACTCGTTGTACTTATGCCAAATATCACTACAAATCATGCTATTACCTGTACTAATTTGCATAATTTCAATTTTTCGCTCGCCGCGCGTGGCAATGAGGTAAGAACCTGACGACCACTCACAGTCTAGCCACGATGTAACCCCTTAATAAGGCGTTGTAAAATTATGCACTTTCTTTCTTTTGTGTTTAGTTTGTCGCTTTACTTAGTTCCAGATATAAAAATATTCACGACGCCGACGAGTCATTCACCTTTCTATGATTTTTGTTAGTTATATCTTACCTGAAACTTTACATGTCTTTTTTAAGGGATTAGAGGCACATTGTGTCTTCTGGGATTTTTCTGCCAAGTAAGTGTGACAGAATTTTTCAATACGCACCTAAAAGGAATTAACAACATCAGGGGTTATTAGTATGAGTTGATTTATAGTTATTGTAGATATATAATAATCAGACAATTCTATACATTATATATTTCGCTACCGACTTTAATGCCGTTAGGGTTGATAAACTGCTGCCCTTTGATTGGCCTTTCCGTTAAGCAGTCATTATCCGAAACTATATTTCAGATCAAAGTTCAACGGTTCTTGGTCAAGCAAAGGATGTTCAATGGTCAATAGAACCAAAACGGAAATCACATGCACTTGTAACCACCTCACAAACTTTGCTGTTCTTATGCACGTTGGAGCAGACAATGAGGTTAGTTGGAGCAGCTTTTTGGCTTGTTTTCCGCATGTCCCAATACAATAACAACCCGCGAGTAAGAACCGAGATTTTAAGAACCGTTTAGGCTAGAATTTGCTAGTTAGGGCACCTCTACACAAGCACCTGTAGCCTAAAATGTGAAACAGGTTCTATAAAATTTCTCCCAATTTCCATACATTGCTTTGTTGTTGTTGTGTTTCTTGGTTAGACCCCCCTACATATATAAGAACCTGTTTAGCCTAAAATGTGAAACAGCTTCTATAAAAAATTCTCTCAATTTCCATACATTGCTTTGTTGTTGTTGTTGTGTTTCCTAGTTAGGCCCCCTCTACACAAAAACCTGTTTAGCCTAAAATGCGAGACAGGTTCTCTAAAAAAGTCTCTCACTGATTTCCATACATTGCTTTGTTGTTGTTGCTGTGTTTCCTAGTTAGGCCCCCTCTACACAAGAATCTGTTTAGCCTAAAATGTGAAACAGGTTCTATACAAAATTCTCTCAATTTCCATACATTGCTTTGTTGTTGTTGTGTTTCCTAGTTAGGCCCCATCTCAAGCACCTTTTTAGCCCAAAATGTGAAACAGGTTCTATAGAAAAATTCTCTCAATTTCCATACATTGCTTTACTGTTGTTGTGTTTCCATGGTTGATGTACCGCAGGATTTATCGCTCCAGCGCTGGATCAGATGCTGTACCTGCGATTTATAGCTATTATCTCTCTGACTTAGCGCAGATTTCCAGAGAGGTAGATGTGAAAATATAGATATCTTCCATAAATTTCAAAAATTTCAATCTATAGTTAAGCTACAAACTGTTATTTAAACGATATTATTTCATAAGAGTTTAATCAACTGTTGGAGCTGAGACAAGGCATTACGATACATGTAAAATCACAATAAAATTCATGTTTTCACTGATCAGTTGTTCTTCTTAAATTGATTTTTACATAAATTTTAATTTAATGTGCAGATTTGATATAAAGAATAAACTGCATACCTCTAAATATTCAATGTATTTTTTCTTCAGGAAATAAGAACTTATCTAAGAACCTCAAATAGCCTAAATTTGTGCTAATTATAAAGCCTCGTCACCAGGGCTTTTCCCTTAAGGGAAAAGCCCTGGGGACAAGGTTGCTAATTATACCATTTATGTAAGAACCTGTTTGGGCTAAATTGGGAAAAAAACATGTTCTTGCTCGCGGGTTTTTACTGTACCATGAATGTTAAGATAAATAAGGAGAGCATCTACAATCGTGGGGCCATGAACCCATTTAATATTGTCATTTAATATAGTTTTAGTGACTCGAGTAATAAGGAGGCCATGCCTATATTTTCGCCATTGAGAGTACTTCTTTGCGAAATAAAAAGGGGCCCTGATGACTCTTGCCACTATTTGTCTTTATTGATTTGGCGTATTTGCAAACAGTTTTTCCAACAGGTTCCAGCAGATCATAAGGTGGCATTAAAAGTCATTACTTACGTTGGGTGTGCTCTGTCGCTTATCGGAGAAGCACTCACCGTTGTTGCATATTGCGTCCTCATGTGAGTTACAAATAATATACCGTTATAAAAGAGCTCAGACATTTAGATTTGGTTTTTGTAATATCCGGAATGATCAAGGTCGAGGTAAGCGTTTTTAATTCACGCATCTTGGTTCCAAATGCACCGAGCATAACACGGCTGGGGAAGAGTGAAACCAAGATTGTCGCCTGAAATAAACAGTAAGCGCTCGAACAGACTAGACGTTCAACAGAAAAATATGGGGCTGTAAGAAGTCTATCGTCCAACAAGCGCTTTAAACAGATTTTTCAGCACCAAATGTTTAACCATAGCATATTATTAAAAAGTGCTTTGTTTCTAAACTATAATTGAATTGAATCTTTAGTTAATACTTAGTAAATGCAAAATTATGACAATAACAAAACCACAAGGGAGGAGAACGAGGAGTCAGCCGCCCTCTTCACAACCCCTCGTCGCGAAATTAGGCTCTGGATTAGCTTGTGAGACGTTCATTTATGATTTTTAAATTAAGAAGCACCTTAACATGGGATTTTCCCGCTTTGAAAAAAATAACGTACATGTCAACGGTGTTTTTTATCATTTTTTGCCTCGTTCAGGGATTTGAAAGAAGACCAAACTCAAATCCGCTTTAACCTTGTGGTCGCCATAGCGATAGCACAAATCACGTTTCTTGCTGGAATTGATGCCACAGAAGTTATGGTAAGCTAAAGATGTTAGTTAATCCGAGACACACAAGGACAGTTTTCTGTAAAATATCTGTTCGGAGAAGCACAAATTGCCTAGAAGTTTCTATACCTTGCGGAAGACTAAGAATTTCTAGATGACCGTTCCTTTCATGTACTACAATTTTCGAAGCATAATTTTATCTAATAAATTCCCTACGATTTTCTGAAGTTTAATTTTTGGCATTTTACCCACCAGATTTCGGATTCGAAAATGCGATGGAAAGAGGAATCAGAAAAATTCTCTCTTCTTCTCTTATCTAAAATTTTCGGTAAGATAATACTGCAGCCGTGGTAATTTCGAAAAGACTCAAGTTGCCCTAGGATGACCGAACAGATATAAATTTTATCGCGCTGATTAGAATGTATTTCTACAAGAGAGGATAAAGGGGACAGAGAAGGCATCCCTCATACACACCCTATTCCATAGGTAATTCATTTCGAGTTATTTTTAAGACCACAGATCCCGAGGGGGATTAGACAACAGCCAATCACATAGCGCGAATGTGTTCCGCGTGGATGACCCACGCGTCCTTCACGAATTGACGCAGAACAAAATGGCGGAAGATGCGGAGAGCGATATTGCTATTCGTTGTGTCGACGAAAACGACTACAGAGAGATTTCTGCTAAAGCTGTGTCAGTGAAATGGAAATTAAAAAAGAATTGCTCTTCCTCTCTTGTATAGAGCTAACAGTACAGCATGGAAATCCTTAACACACTGAATATTCTCTCAGGATCATTTATAATTTACAGTTTGAAGAGAGCAATTTCTGGTTTGCTATTTATTCTTTTATTAGTCTTTTATTATTCAACAAAAATAACACTTGGCGTCCTACTTGCTTTATTGTACAAATGACCGGTTTCAATAGACCGTCGAAATTTCTCATTTTATTAAAGCACTGAGGTTACGCCAACTTTGAGTTAAACTGATTTCACGGGTTGTCAAAGAGTCCAGCGATTCCGTTTTCCCAGGTGAGCGCCGACTCATTTCGCTTCAATATTCAGGAATGCTCTGGATCTCTTTACGCTTTCAATGCCTTTCGCCCGACGTGTTTTGCACGGCGTTTAGTCATGCGAAACCTCCACGAAACATCCACGCAGCGCGCGAGGTAACTTTATCCCGATTCTAAAAATAACTCGAGACGAATTACCTATGGAATAGAGTGTGTATGGGGATGCCTTCTCTGTCCCCTTTATCCTCTCTTGTTTTCTAAAGGTCTAAAAGTACTCTGGACAGCATGAAAAGTGTTTGTAATGCATTTAGGAGAAAACCGTCGGTGGGTGCCCCTGGTTAATCTGAAAGATAAAGAAATAATGAGCATTTTCTTAGCTTGGATGATAAATTCGTTCGATTGCCAAAACGTTTAGCAACAAAAATAAAAAATGAAAGACCGTTGGATGTAATCGAGTTGAGTCTTGAATAACTCAATTTCATTAGATGGCATATTCCCGGCACCTCGATTTTACGCAAATGCGCTAAAGGGACAGGGTGGCAAAGGGTAGGGGGAGGGGAGGGGAATACCTATCACGCATTACAGGGTGATAAAATAAAATATTAACTACATTATACAAGTATCAGGAGCCTATCCTATTGTCATGTGATCTGAGGAAACAGAGGTCGAGAAACGAGAAAAAAGTGCAAGAAGTTGGTGTCATAACTATATATTTTTTATGTCTCTTAGTCTTCTTCTAGTTTCAAATGATATCGACCATCGCAGAAATTTCAAAGGAAAATCACGCGTTACGCGTTGTTAAAATAGTAAATCATGCATCACGCTGCCAGGCCAAATCACGCCTCACGCGGTTAATTTAATTGACCACTCCAGAAAATACCATAACGTACCATAACGCTCTTTGTTTGTCACCCCAAAATTTTGCATAAGCATTGTTTTCAGTTTTTCTTGGGGCCATTTTAACTCCCAAGAGAAACTGAACACAATACTTATACAAAATTTTGGGGTCACCAACAAAGAGTATTATGGTATGTTACGGTATTTCTGGAGTGGTCAAATGGGTTCGATCACGCGTCACGGAAAATCCCTTTGCCACCCTGAAAGGATAAATTGGGAGGAATGGAGTTTGATTGCACTGACGTTTAGCGATGGTTCAACTTCTGTATAATATTTCGCAAACATGGCAGTCAAGTTTATTCTGTCACTTTCTAAGGAAATAAAAATTGTCCTTGATAGATTTTTTCGGCTGCTATGATTAGTATAGGAAACAGGTATACACTAGGTCTGGGTCTAAGGTTACATAGGATCAAGTGGAGTGTTATTGGCAGACACACGACAGTGCCTAAAACTTGTGGCTCAGTGGTCGATTGCGCTTTAGTTCTCTTTAGTGTCTTTGGCTTGTTTGCATTACATCAAGAGTTTTTTTCTTTTTCCTTTTATTTATATATTTTTTGTGGGGTGGGGGAGGGGGTGGTAAAAAACGTGCCGTTATGGGCAATTTGATCACGGTGAATCCCATTTCTTATAGGAACTGTGTGTGTTTGTAGCAGCCATGATTCATTACTTCTATCTGGTGGGATTTGCTTGGATGTTATTTGAGGGTGTTTATCTGTATCTGATGGTTGTCAAAGTGTTCAATACGGTCATCAGATTGCGGTTGTTCTATGGAGTGGCCTGGGGTAAGTATTAAAGCAAAAGCCTACTACAGAAAATTGCCCGTTGGTAGATCCAGTCAAGAGGTCGTGACTTGTAAGTCCCTTCCGGGATCAAAAGCATTTCGTTAATTGACCACTCTAAAAATGCCATAACATACCATAATGCTCTATGTTTGTCACCAAAAAATTTTGCATAAGAATTGTCTTCATTTAAACATTTTAACTCCCAAGAGAAACTGAAGACAATGCTTATGCAAAATTTTGGGGCGACAAATAAAAGAGCAGTATGGTATGTTATGGTATTTTCTGGAGTGGTCTATTGATTCCTGGTTTATCTAGTTACTTTCCTTACGTACTTACAAGGACTTGCAATTGAGACTTGCTATTCAAAGGAATTTGTACAGTTTCTCACTTCTCAACACCACAGTTCTCATAAGAGTGCTACACTGACATAGCTGACGTAACCCAACTGAGCCTAACTTTTCATTTTTCTCTTTTTCGTTTTCAATCAAACCTTAGGCGTCTCCCTTTTGATTGTGGTTTTATCGATAGTGATTGCTTCCATTCAAGATGGCGGGATAGAAAGCTATGTTCATGATCATTTGTAAGTAACCAAACCAGATCTTAATACTACAGAACAAAACGGAGCAAGAAAAACTTGGAGGTTTCAAGAATCTGTTTATTTTTTAATTACCATTTTTTATTTATTTATTTATTTATTTATTTATTGCAAAGTTACTTATGAAATTGATTGATGAACAGGTTATTAAATCGTCACCAGACTTGAAGTTACTGGGAGTAACATTAGATGTTGAACTTAGTTTTAGTGCTCATATAAGTGATATATGCAAAATGGCAAGTAAGAAAGTTGGTGTTCTAGTACGTCTTAGAAATATGATTCCGAGAGAAGCCAAGTTACAATTGCACAAATCGGCAATTTTACCTAACTTAACATATTGTCACATAGTGTGGCATTTTTGCAAAGCATCTAAAGCAAGAAAATTAAAAAGAGTACAACAACGGGCACTACGTGCTGTATATAATGATAGGAATGCTCCGTATGAGGAACTCCTAGAGAAGGGAAGACTCTCTAGTCTTGAGAACAGACGGTTACAAGATATACTAATTTTAATGTATAAGGTTAAAAATTCACTAGCTCCAGAGCATGTATGTAATATGTTTTTTCAGCAAGATAAGCATTATAATTTACGAAGTGATTTTCCTGTTCCGAGATATAATACTGTTAAGTATGGCAAGCACAGTATCAGATTTTTAGGCCCACACATATGGGGCAAGATAAGCCAGGAACTACGCAGTAAGACCAGTCTTCAGGCATTCAGGAGAGGGGTGCGTGCTCTCAATGTGCTTGGCTTGCTGGACGGTACGTGTGGCTGCTGTGCATGCTCATCTTAGGGTGGTGGGTATGCATATTGGCCTCTGCTGTCTGGCTGCCCTGGTGTATTGAGAGTGTGCTCCCCTATCCTCTATTTAATTCGTCTAATTTAAATTGTCTAGACTTTTAACTTTCTGAATTTTGTATTTATTGTTTGACTGCTGCTTATGTGTTTGTCCTATATTGTCTGTTTGTTTGTCTGTCTATCTGATTGTCTGTTTTGTCTATCTATTTGTTTGTCTTTGTTTGTTCCTTTTCCTACTGTTTGTCTGTAATAATTTTATATATTGATGTTATTTTTATATATTAATGATATTTTAAGAATATATTTTTACATATACTTGATTTAATCTTATATTATATTCTTCTTATTTATTTATAGTGTCCACAATTAGCTTTTTAGCTAAATACCTTGACACTTTAATAAAGTTTATGTATGTATGTATGTAATTTGCCCAAACTGCCTTTTTCAGAGGAATTATTATGAGCACGTTCATGTTACAGGCCTAAACAATTGGTTTTCAAACAATTGAAAATTTTTAAATAAGTCTTCGTAAGCTTTTTCTTCAATATTTCCAATTTTAACCGTCAAGTTTTATCAAGCAATCCTTTCTTAGAAACACCTTGATTTTCTTTATTTTTTTCAGTTGCTGGGTTTCCTTCAAAAATAACCTTATCTGGACGTTTGTTGCGCCTGTTCTCTTAGTTTGCACGGTAAGTAAGAAAGTGAAAATGTTCCATAAGTGAATAAGTTTGTTAAGAGAACAAGTTAAAAAATGATTGCTTACAGAATATTGAGGCTCATCTGTAACTGATTAAAAATTGATATAATCATCAAATATTTGCCATGAAAATGTAAGACGTGAAACTGAAATTAATAACGGTTCATGTAGAAAAAAGAAAACCAGAATATTTAGCTTCCTTTCATATCATAGTCTTGGAGGATTACAATAAGCCCATAAATGAACTGATAGCGGCTACCAGTGCCGCCCTTGCATGCTGACGTCAGAGCTTACTGCTAACATGTAAATATATACTGAAAAGAGGACACGTTTATTGTCCTCTTATCCACGGCATTTCATTTATTCATTCATTTGCGGGTAATAAACACATCTGGGATTGATCGCTGCGGTGGAGGGGAGGCTGTGACGTCATACTTGGTGTGATATGCTTGAGATGTTTCATACGTCCGAGCTTTGACCGATTATTTATCGATTATATTTTATGTTTTCATTTATATATATATATATATTTCATATATATATTAATAATCACAGGAGTTCAGGCTTCATGATCAGGAGTAATCATTGATCGTTTATTGCGACAGTGCTGTTTCGTATGGTCCGAAATTGTAGGACCACACTCATCAGGCAACTTCAACGATTGACCGTTAAAATTAAAAGCTGGCAGTAAATATAGGGATGCGTTAAGAGATAGTATCTAGGTAACAGATGGATTGTGTCTTAGTTACGTTACTCTAGAGTTCTGAAGTACACCTGAAGCCTGAACTCCTGTGATTATTAATAGTCAATGCTCTTCAATTAAATGAATTGAGCGCTCTACGGAATACGTTCTACCCAGAATACAAGTATATATATATATATATATATATATATATATATATAGATAGATAGATAGATAAAAGATGAACTTCTGGAGTCGGACTAGTTCAAAAACATTTAATCGCTACTCGGAGTTTCATGCCTCTAGAGAAGCAATCATCAGGCGACTGACAACATTAGCGGTCACATGTAAAGATATACAAATTTGAAAAGACGTAAGAATTCTGATTGGACGGCTAAAATGCTTAACGAACAGGTAAATCTATATTAGGTTATCGCGGTATTTAAAAGAAATTTCTTAGAATGTCTACAGATCGATGACAGTTCGTTTCTACGATTGAGTGTCGACATTTCCGGTTTGCAAATAATAAAGTATTTCTCCCACAGGCAGAGATTACATTTCTTGTTGACATTAGAGTAAGACCTAGCTTGCTTTACTTTTCTCCACTTAATTTGGTAATCAATTTTGCGTTGTTTTAGGTTCCATACGTATTTGCTAAGCTCTGTGCTATTCTTGTATCTTTCGTTCCTGAAAGAGCATTTATGGTTATTGAATCGTTCCTTAAACATCGTGTCACATAGGCCGACGTACGTTTCTTTTGACTGTGGAGTCGTGACCTCTGCTTGGTATACAATGTTCTGGATTTTGCAATTTCCCTATATATATATATATATTTATTCATTTATTTGTTTATTTATTTATTTATTGTAGTTCTATTTTCAAGACCTGAGAGAAAGAAAGAAACAGGGTCCAAGGTTTCTGCCATTAAAAGATATCTTATTCTCATGCATTGTTTCCACGCAGATAAACTCAGTTTTACTTGCCCGAGTGGTTCATGAGATCCTAAGAATGCAAGCCGACAAAACACCTCATCTGGAAAGAGTTCGACAAGGAGTTAAAGCATGCGTAGTTTTGTTTCCTCTTCTGGGACTGACCTGGGTGTTTGGTTTCCTAAGTGTCACAGATGCTGGACTCGTATTTCAGTACATCTTTACCATCTTCAACTCTTTGCAGGTATAGTACTAGAAAATCCAACATGTTAACTTTTTGAGTAGTTTGAGGAAACAGTCGACATTTCGCAGGGGCACTCAAAGAGAATATAGTTCAAAACCACTTAAAAATAGCATTGTTAAACGTATTTAGTATTTAGACGGTAGATATAGGCATATTTTTATCCCCTAAAAATTTTTCATCTGTTCGGCTTTCCTAGCTGAAAGTCTAGTGATGGGATCAAAACTCACCTTTTCAAAAATTTCAGCAAGAAAAAAGGCTCCCGAAAATTTTAGGTGACCTTTTTAGGGTAAAAATCCGTTAAAAATGGGCAATTATACCATTTTTTAGATGTTCGAAAATCCTAGGAGAGGCAGGCAAGCAAGAAATTTTACAAAAAATGTTCCGAAAATTCTAGATCTCAAATCGTCTTCCGAACAGATTTTTTTTTTTTTTTGAAAATTGGCGTTGGGTGCCCCGATTTCGCGACGCCACCACTGGTTTCCCCAAGAAATGACGTTTGGCGAAGAACGTCCATACTGATGACGTGTCAGAAACCCACATCTGGGAAGTGCTTCTAATTGGATGAAGCAGATTTTAATTTAATCAGAAGCACTACCCAGATCCAGGTAGTGACGAGTGATCAGTATGGAATTGCTCCGCTAGTTTATCCAACGTCATTACGTAGGGAAACCAGTGGTGGTGTCGCACAATGTCCGCTGTTTTCTCAGGCTAACTGACAGCGAGCAAATATTATTTTATCAAATCTTAGCTTGGTGGCTAAAAAAGCCGTTTTAATTCACTCATTCGTCCATTTATTTATTTATATGTTTTGCCACACAAGCATTCGAAGTTTACTCCAGACTTTGACAGTAGTGTCAAGGAATGTAGCGATCGAGAGCATTAACATGAACCTAGAATAGTAGAGATGGGGGGCGGTACCTGATACTATGTACTGCGATTAACCATTGACTATAAATTTTGCCTTCATTTCTTCTTTTCTCTCACCCTTATGAAGGAACTTAACTTTCTTTTTATTTATCGATACACACATTTTTAGGGTTTGTTCATCTTCATACTTCACGTTTTGAGAAACAGCGACGTACGTGCAGCATACTCTAGAAAAAAGCAGAAGAGAAATGCGGCAAAAAGCGTGAAAAACTCTCAAGAAAACCGCAATATTGTGGTCAAGCAAAGTGACGAATGAACCAAGTTGTACAAAAGAACCTAGCAGTGCCTCTCTAAGATCGTCGACTGGAATAAAAAGCAAGATTGACAATGCCCTGCACGAGGAAAGAACCATGACTCCCGTTGACACGTGACTGTCACGTAGACTGCACGCAAATTGTTTTAGTAGCCACTGTTAGAAAATAGAGTATTGGCAAGTTTTCATTATACGTTTAATTCTTTGGAAATAGCATAAAAATCCCACAAAGAACTTCTGTTGACACGTGACTGTTAGTAGGCCATTTCCGCGCGAGTTGCTCCACTGAGCTTCTGTTTTGAAGCGAAACCAAGTCGAACCCACTGCTGTGAAAATGATGTTTTACTCTCATGAGGCAAAAGAAACCAGGAAAGGTTTTGCACTTAGCCTCGTTGGATACCAACATTATTACTTTGTTGCTTATGAAACGCTATGTTTCTCCCGATGAATCAGAGTCTCAAAGAGCAAAAACTTTTAAATTCAATCGATCATGAGTTGACAGGTTGTCTTAGTAGACTATATACTTATTTTAGACTTACTTGGAAATTCATAAGGCCTTTATTCAAGCTATTCTTATGTCATTCCATGCTGTAGTGAAGAGAGATACCCAATAAAGACACTTAATCATTAGTTTATATCACGTTTCTGGAGAAACGTACAATTCCAGTACCAGCGTTAGAACCTGCAGAATTTTCAGTGACTCCATATTCATTGACTTTTGTTGTAGTCATCCGAGATCGTCATGGATTATTAACCCTTTGAAGACTTCTTGGGTCGTTTTCGTTCCATATAGAACATGTATATTTTTCTTCCTAGTTGGTACTGACGTAGCAACGTCAGCAAAGATGCCGCTCCATCGATAATTCGTTTTGGAAATTCTGACCAATCCTGACAGAGTGATATACAAAAAAAGAAGTAACAGCTCTGGTGAAAAGTTCACTGCCTATTTCGCAAAAAGAACCCGTTTACTTTGCATCCGATTAGTCGGAAAATGCCTAGTTTACTGTTGCAAAACTCATTTTAGCCATTTCCATAAATAACATAAAGAAGAATTTGTGAAAAATCCGGTTTTGCCGCTACTCGCTGGCGGTAGGCAAAGGGTTAAGTATGAACAAGAGCCATAATAGGTCCCAAGTGGCTCTTGGTATGAAATTGCGAGTGGGAATATGGGTCACTACGTGTGTGTATTACACTTAATTTTTTGTGCCTCTGATCTTTGGATCAGAATGCGAGTGCGAGATTAAATTGGTATCCGCGATTAAACGCCAAAGCGTTTAAAATTTAAGTTAGCTGAAAATCACTTTTAAAAAAAATCACTAAAAATCACTGTTATTTCCAATAAGGAAAACCTTCAACAGTCGCAATAATCAAGTCCCTCTATTTGGCCATACGTAAAATTAAAGAACCGAAAATTTACAGTGCCCCGCGATATAGCTTTATGGGAAGATGACAAAAAAAAAAGGCATAGGTAGAATCACTTTTTCAATACATGTCTTTGTCGTAAAACAAATGCACTCTGTTTCAGCTCCAAAAGAGGTTGGATCGAGTTGATAAACTTAAAATATTACTCACTGACAGATGATGATAATTACCAGTTTGTGTTTGTGCCAGATATATAAATTCCAAATTTCCATCCTTACATTTTACACTTTTTCTTTCTACCCCAATCGGACTAAACAATAATACTGCAACGTATCAAAAACTCCGGGGAGGGGTCCCATCCACCCCCACTCCCCTTCCCCGTCCTTGTACCACGATTGGGGTATGAATTTGCGTGTACATGCGAGGGTTAACTAGCACTAAATTCATTGTGAGTGAAATGTAGAGGAAAGGCTCAGAATTTTGCCCAAATTTGCTCCTTGAAAATATATAGATAGTGAGGACTAAATATATGGCAAAGATGGTTTTGCCACATTTGCATACAACTAAAACCCTGGGTTGTAAATAACTAGGCAGATGTGGCATTTTGGGGCCTTTGTGAAAACTCCTACTCAGAACTCTTGTTGACGAAGCCCAAGGCGAGATCTGGTCATATACGATTTGTACACATGATAGCCTGTCACATGAGCATGGGCTCCTGCCTGTCAAGAATGTGACAGGTGATGAAAGAGCGCATGCTCAAAATAAATCCTTCATTTTAGACGTGTTAAATAACGAATTTGATAGAGCCTTAAAGTTTTCTCCAGCAAAACGTGGTTATACCCATATTTTAAGAATGAACCAACTAATTGCTGTTTTTTTTCTTTGTAACATTAAATTGAAAGCGACATGCTGATGTTAATCACGAAAAACATGCCTCCACGGCTTATTCTTGGGTTGCACGTGACGTCACCAAAAATCAAACTAGGAAACTATCGATTCTTCGGGGTTTCTACTTTCACGAGGTATTACAGTATCTAAACACCTTTACATAAAAAAATTTTTGGTTTGAAAGGGTTCTTCGTTTTGCGAGAGAGGACGCTTGAATTTCCAGGCTTTTGCGTGACGCAGCACTTAGCTGGCGGCCGGGAAAGCTCTTATGTGGGTTAAAAACGTTACCGATTTTGGGAGATTTTGCAATCTAAATATTCCTTGTCTCAGAATAAATATTACTGTAATCTTTATGAGTTCCTCAAGCGAAGAATTCACGCATTAGTACGAAAACTCGAAAACAGATGTTTCTGTTAGTATCCGGCGGCCATATTGGTGTTCCTGAAAGGGACACCAACATGGCGTTTCCATACAAAGCTTTATAAATCTAGGTAAACCGTTTTTCTCAATATCTTGCATTTGAAATATTTCACAGACCTGATTCTCGGCAAAAGTTTTTGTATATTTATCTTTTTTCATTTCCCAGATTCTAGTCCTTCTGTATTGAATGGTTTGAATTTTTATTTTTCATTGCGTGACAGTGCAAGCCGAGAATAAAAGTTGCTGGCAATACAAGACCAGCCGCAATAGGCCATTTCCGAGTTCCCCCGGACCTCTGTTCAAAACGAGGGTAGGTGGTCAGCCTTTGATATGGAAATCATTTTTTATTCTCATGCAAATAAAACTCATTTTCACAAGAAAGGTTGTGCGCCTAGCCTCATTTTGAAAGTGAGGGTTTTTGGATCTCGGAAGTGGCATATTTGGAGGAAAAATTTGAACAGAGGAGAGGGAGGGAGTGAAACTTATACCCTACAGTTATTTGACTACGGCAGCGGTTTTAATTGAATGAGAGCAGAATTTTTTGTATCCTGTTCCAGGCGTTCAGTGGGGAGAGAGTTAAATCGTAGGCGATGAGCGATAATGGAGCACGAGAGGAAATCAAAGAAAGACTATCGTCAACTCGTGGGAACGTTGTTTAGAAAATAATCAAATGATAGTTATCAATTCTGGTTTTCCCACAGTAAATTGTGGGAAATGATAGAAATTCGGATTGTTTATTGGAAACACGATACTTTTCTTGCTGTTTATTACACTCTATTAAATAACAGTTATTTAGGCATATATTTATAGAAAAACAACAAAACAAATAAGCGAACAAAATAAAACAGAAACGGAAAAAAAGAAAGAATTAAACGGAAAAAAGGAAATTAAAGTATTGAGTACTAGTCGACACCGCACCTTCAGCTTGACGAGACTATACCTTACCACTACACCACTAAAGCTGATTACATAACTTTGGCGAAAAGTCTTTAATTTAATGCGTTTTCCATGGAGCTTCCGCCGTTTGAAGATGATCGAGCCGCATTAACCGAGAAAAACAAAATGTTAAAGCATTCCATGGCGATGAATTGTAATGAAACAACATAATCACGCTTCACAAAAAGCCGATAAACCTCGTCTACGAAGTAGCACGCAAAACATATTGTTCTGTTATCTCGATTTCCGCTGTAGTTTTGAGGCTAATGATCAAAATCATATCCATTTTTGTCTCATACAGGTTCTTAAGAATGGCATGGCTTTAAATTTTGTCACTTTCAGATCACTTTCAAGCAAACCAGAATTCAGTATATATCCCCCGTGATCTTGCGGCGGAGTCGAAGAGCAAACGCTCATCTTCTCGTGTCAAGTTTAACGCCTGGACGAGTCAAAGGCTCTTAAAATCCAATCCCCAAGTTAACCATCGTACTCATCTAAAAGACTCCTCCATGTCTTAAATTTGGTAAGACCTCTAACCGTGCTGTGGAAAATTTGCCACAAAGAAAACTGTGAGTCTGAGCAGCGAACGATGCACGATCTCGGCAAAGATTTTGATACCATCGAACTTCGGTGAGCGCGTGCTTCTTCGGAAACGATAGATCTTCGCACTCTCGAGTTCGGACCCGATTAATTACGACGTCCGTCTACTACGAGAGAGCGAGTGACTGATTTGCATATCCCCGTCCCTGCAATAACTCGTGGTACGCTCGCGCGTCCCCACAATTTAGAAAACGAGAGGAGACTAGGGAGATCGCAATCAACTAATCTTTTGCCCGCGCTCTAGTATCTGAATGCTTGGAAAAGGGTAATTTTTCTTCTGAGTGTCTCAGAATATTTTGGCAGCTAGTTATAGTTTGCGCAACGCTTAAAAACACTGATGTAACTGACAAAAAATAAAAAATGTGTCTCGTCATTGATGGATCCAGAAAGAGTAGATGCAGTAAAAGTCTGAGTTGGAAAACAAATAAAATTGTGCCACCTGAGGTGACAAGATAGTTTGAAATAGGACTGGTCACTTTTTGCATTCGAATTATTCAAGTTCAATTTTATAGCGTCACCTGGAGGACACAAACAAAGTATAGTTTTCTTTTCTTGCTTTCTTTTCTTCTTTGAGTTTTTTCCTTTTTTTCTTCTTCTATATTTTATAGCCCCTTTTTGTGTATTTTATGTGTAAGTAAAAGGCAACATTTCTTTCATTTTTTTTTTTTTTTTTTTTTTTTTTTTTTTTGACAACAACAACAACTCCTGCTTACATCTTGTATAAAACACCATTTTAAAAGCTCCGGCTCCAGTTTGAAACCTTAAAAAAAAAAATGTTAAAAGCCCACCGTGAGTATACACAGGAAGAAAGTGTGACTGAGGGAAACGCAAAGCGGGGAAATAAACTAAGGCCAAAAGACTAAAATGGAATACAGATTGGAATTATACTCTGCTTCATCAGTTTTTTTTTTTACTGTGAGCCATGATTCTTATTGACGTACGCGATAATTTCCTTTGTCGATTGTATATTATGAATTGCCACATCGAACGCAATGAAATAGTCGATAAGCTAATATATTACACATTTCATATGATGCGTTGATTTTGTCTGGTGAAAAAAAAAAACAACTTTAGTTCAGTCTTTATTCAAGGCTTCTAAGAACCGAAAACTCATACAATAATCGACTCCTCGATTTTTAAACTCCTTCTTTAAATATTCGCAAATATGCAGCTTTTAAACTTAATCTGAGGAAGGTGGAAGGCTTTCTTTTTCCCAATTATCTTTGTTTTCGTTTAACTTCTATTCATAATTGCTTTTTAAACGACCAAACGTCACTGAGGTGTCGTAATTATGTAGTTTTCGGAAAGTCTAATATATTACGCATAAATTTGGTGGAGCTTATGAAGTTTAAACTTGAAAAAAAAAAATACTGCAACGTTTGACGCTGAGGAAGGAGCTAGAG